CGCCCCGCCTCCCACCTGTAGAAGCTTCTCTGCTGTCGGCCTCTTCTTGGGGTTCTTGGTCAAGGCCAGCTTGAGGAAGTGGTGGAAATTCTGGGTCCTAGTGGGCACAAGAGCCCCCAGACCCAGGTCAGCCCTCAGGCAGGGCATCCTGCCAACTGCCCCCTGCTGCCACTCCAGAGGAGTCTGCTGGGCCTGCCCAGGAAAGGGCCGGCCCGAGGCCAGGGGCAGCCGGCCTGAGCAATACTGCTGTTGCGACATGGAAGCTCCTCCATGGAACCACCGTCCACGCCAGCCATGGCCCCGAGATGCGCCCCAGGCCCCCCCACGGATGGTCTGCAGAATACCAGAGGGCAGGGCTCTGGAGGCTGCACCCGGGGAGCTGGCAAATGGCTCCTCTGCTCCCCTGAGGACTGACTGAAAAGGGGGGGCCCAGCAAGGAACATGGGCCTCACCAGCGAGTCTTGTCCCTCAGCTTGGGCGGCTGGAAGCTGCTCTTGGACATGAGCATCAAGGCCCTATGGACAGCAAAAGGTCAGGAGCTGGGGGTCAAAAGGGCCCCAGGGGTCAGGCAAGGGGCAAGCGTTCAACTGACCTCATGGGGTGCAGGTGGAACAGAGGGGGCTGCAGCTCGCCCAGCTCAATGGCTGTGATGCCCAGGGCCCAGACGTCACACAGCTCGTTGTAGCCACCTTTGCGCTCCACAGCGGCCACCTCGGGGGCCATCCTAGAGGTGGGGTCACAGATGGGATGGCCGGGTGCCCCACCTGTGGCCCCTACCCCCTCAGCCCGAGACGCAGCCTCACCAGTACGGAGTCCCAATGAAAGACCTCCTCTTGGCCACCGATGCCGTCAGCTCGCCCGACACCCCAAAGTCAGCTGCAGGGAGAGAGAGCTCCTGGAACCCGCCCTCTGGCTGCCACGCCCCACCCACCTCTCAGGCTCAGGCTCAGGATGCAGCTGGCGGGTTCAGACAACAGGCAGACCAAGTTCAGCTACAGCTGCCAGGGCCGGGGCCCCCTCCTGGGAAGGGCCAACCACCTTCAATCGCTGACCAAGTGCCAGGCCACACGGTGGACTCCATGCAGACCCAACCACATCCAGCTTGTAGTGGGGAGGGAAGATGCTTCCACTTTTCTCAATGGGGAGATTGAGGCCCAAGCTGGACAGTGACTTGCCCAAGGACACCCAACACTTGAATGCAGCTCCCACAGACCCTCACCCTGATCGTGTCCCCGGGGTACTGACCCAGCTTGACATCTCCCTGGAGAGTGAGGAGCAGGTTGGCGCCCTGAGGAAGAGGACGAGAGAATCCCATCTGGAGGTCGGGAGAGCATCCTCCTCCTCCCTCCACCCTCCCCCAGGGCCTAAGGCAGGCCCCTACCTTGATATCTCTGTGGATCTTCCCCTGAGAATGCAAGTGGTGCAGCCCCTGGGGACAGAGGAGAGCCCCTGAGAGCAGCTACCCAGCAACATCCCACCTTTCCTGAGCCCTCTCTGAGGCCTGGGCCCCCCACCCAAGCCGCTTCCTCCTCCCCTCTCCCCAAACAGGAAGTGACTGAGCCAAGAGGGAAATGGGCTGCTTCCGGCAACAGGGTTGGGGCCCCTTCTCCCAGGACCCACCGCCCCTCACGCCAGCCCCGCCTGAGGCACTCCACCCCCCACACTGGCCAGCGGGGCTCCCTGCCCACAGCTCCTGGGCGCTGGGGGGTGAGCAGCCTTCTGGGCCCAGCTACCTTCAGTGCCTCTCGGCAGACGTAGGCAATCTGCCGCTCCTCCAGGGGCCCGGTGGCTGGAAGGGAAGGGTAAGAGCTAGCATGGGGGTCTGGGGGATATGCTGACCCGCCCAGGCCACCCTCCCTCCAGGAAGCCACAGGCGTCTGGGACACGGAGCCCAGGGAAAGGTAGTTATTTCTCTCAAGGTCACACAGCCAGCGAGGAGGAGCCTTGGGCCCCGGCTCTCCCCTCCTGCCACAGGTTGGGGGTGAGGGGGGGACGGAGAGTGTGGAGCAGCAGCAGCGGCCGTGCCCTGTGGGGCTGGAGTCCTGCCCGCACCGTGGTAAATCTCCTGCAGGGAGCCCCCTCCGCAGAACTCCATGCAGATCCACAGGCGGTCATTCCTGGGGGAACACAGCGCCGGTGGGCACAGGGCAGGGCCGCACGGGGCTGCCTGGGGCGGGCAGGGGACGCGGCCTCACCTGAGATAGCTGCCAATGTAGGCCACCACGTTGGGGTGGTGGCACTCACGCAGGATGGTGATCTCCTGTTGGAGGGAGCTGATGTCGTCCCCTGGGGAGCACAGGGCATTGGGGGTGGGGGAGGAGCTCAGAGGCGTCGCGCTAACTCAGCGCCCTCATCTTCCAAGGACCCCTGAGTTCTGCCTCCCTCCAGGCCAGACAGGTGCCGGGGACGCCACCCCCGGGGACTGCCTCTCAGCGGCCTCCCAAGTGTCAACTCTCCGCCCCGCGCGCCGGGCTCCCTGCCCTTCCTCCCGCGCGGAGGCCCGGCCCGGCCCTCACCT